CTTCTCTCTCTAGCTTTCCTGGGCCGCCATCTGACTAGGCCTCCTGGCTCACACTCCCCGCGCGGCCGTGGGCGGGGAAGTTCCTGGTTGTGTCCAGTGGAGATGCACCAGATAGAATCTAGCTGCAAAGTGGCACCGGACTTAAACGGGGAGCACCCAGCACAAGGTCTGGACCCTGGGAACGCAAGAATGCTGGCAGCTGTCTATTGCCAGGTGTAATGATACCTCCCGTGCCCAGGGGCGCTGCGCCACTTCTACAGAAAGGTACCTGTCCCAAGGGGGTTCAAAGCCGAGCGTACACACCCGGAAACCCCGCTCTTTCCACATGCCTGCGTTTGGGATATGTCTTTGAAGGATGACATTCACTTCATTTTAGACTATTTTTTAATGCTGTCGCTGAGCTATTATGTAGGGTGCCCCAAAATGTATACACACACTTTGAATAATTATAAAGGCGGTGTTCATGAAAATAGATTTCATTTTCAAAATTGAGCCACCAGCTGTTAAAGTGTGTGTGCATATTTTGGGACACCTGTATGTGTGCTAAACTTCAAGTATTACAGGAGGGAAAAGAAACTTGTAGGAAGTGTGGCCCCCCGCCCCCCCCCCCCTCCCCGCCCAAGTCCTCACTGTTACAGATTCACTGAGCGCCTGCTACAGCGCTTGCTGTGCCTGCAGGTTGCCATTGCTCGTGGGTTCCCTCTCCTCGACCTGAGTGGGGTCTGGAGGAGTCCTGCTCAGCACCTGCTGATGTGGCAGCCTCTGCCTGGCGCATGCCCACCTTAGCCCCTGAGACCGGCCTGCCATCGGTCATGCCGTGGCCCGTGGGTAAAGCCTGCGATCGGGTCACTGCAGAAGGAAGCGCACAGGTGCACTAACCACGGCCTCCCTCCCCAGTCATCACACCTGAGCCAGACACCTGAGCAGGAAGCGCTCCCTGAACCCAGCCAGGTGCCCCTCACAGGCCAGCGATGTGGGAGGCCAGGGGCTGGAAACCCGGGCAGGTGAAGGTCAGTGCCCGGTGCTCTCTGAGGGACAGGGAGTGGAGGACGTCTCCCACCAATTGGTGGGCCCCAAGGGACGTCAGGGTCATGCCTGTTTTTCCAAAGGCCCCGTGGCCAGGCAGGAGGTGGAGGCTGATGCCAGGAGGAGGCTGGGTGGGTTCTCGGGAGGGTGGGGTCTTTAACGGCGGCCAGGACACAGGCCATCCCGGGGCCCCCGCTGGTGTTTGGTGAGTACGTGTTGCCTAGAGGGTGGAGGGCGGGAGAAGCTCAGGACCAACCACGCTGTTCTCATCTACGCGGTGATGGCAGCCCCCGTCCCACACGCCAGGGACACGGCGCCCTCACTGTTGAGTGTGGCTGCTGCTTGGCCCTGTTCATCGCACAGGGTGGAGGTGGGAGTGGGAGGGGAGGTCTGAAAGGGTTTAAGCACAGCCCAAATGCAGGACGGAACTATCATAATTACTAGGAAAATAAACCCATGCAGCTTTGTCTGTGGGACACTCCTGCCCACGCCGACATCCTTGCACAGGTCTCGGCAGTGCAAGGCAGCGCTCCATCCACACTGTGGGTCACTGCGCGTCCTTCTCGGCGGAAGGGCGGTCCCCCAGGCGCAGCCTACCTGCAGGCTGTAGTTGGCACCTCCCGTGCCCAGGGGCGCTGCGCCACTTCCACAGGAAGGTACCTGTCCCAATGGGGTTCAAAGCCGAGGATGGGAGGAGAGGACAGGAGGCTGGAGGGAGCGTGGGTTCGGGTTGGGAGGGGGTAGGGGAGGGAGACAGGACAGAGAAGAGGTGAGGAATTCATCACCTTCCCCGTGTGGCCAAGCGGCAGCTGTGCGGAGCCTACCTCATACGCTCTGTTGTCGAGTCCGTAGAGGCCCAAGTACCGCTCAGAAAATGCCGACGCTGGTGGGTACGAGCAGAGGGAGAGAGGGTCACCCCCTGCCTGGAGCCCGGACTTGAGGCCCTGGTGGGGCACGCTCACCTCCTCTTCCTGGCAAATGTTTGTTTACAAAAACCAAACTCGACCTCTTCGCTCTTTTTTGTTTATTTTTTATATTTCTGGAGCTTTTATTTTACTTTTTAAATCTTTATTGTTGAAAGTATTATATGTGGACCCCTTGGACCTTTATACGGAAATCAGATGGTGGCGCAGCGACGTTTAAGCGTCTGGTGCTGGGGTGGTGTCAGGCAGGAAGGCCGAAGCTTAATGACGTGGTGCCTGGTGAGTCTGACTCCCAAGCCCAGTCCAGCCCCGGACAGGACAGGACAGCGCCATTCCCGTCGGGTGCACTCGTGCCTGGTCTCGGCCTGTCTGCTCTGTCCCGAACCCTGGCCCGGCCCAGGCTCCATCAGCCAAGTGCTCTGAAGAGCATCCACAGGTTTCGGGGACGCCCTCGGTCAGCAGCAGAGACCACACCCCGCCGCGGGCACGGGGACGAGCCAGGTGCAGCGGCTGTACTTGTGGGTTGGATCGGGATATTTGAAACAGCGCGATCACAAATCTGAAGAAGCCTCCCTGAGTTTGAGACGTGAAAATATGCTCCGTGTATTCCCGGGGGAAACCAACATAAAGATTCACATTTGAATTGTGAGGTCTCGGGTGATTGCAAGTGGGCATTTGCACAAGAACTTGGTAAAGGTCAGCGCTGAGCCTTTGGCTGCTGGATGCACCGAGGTGTTGGGCCTCTGTGGGCCCCGGGTGTGGGCGAGGGCACAGGGAGTGTGCAGCATGGGCACTTTAGAAAGGGGGTTAATGCCACAAAGCCATTCACATTCAGAGGAAAGGGCTGTCTGGCCTGAGGGGAAAGAAGGGGGGCCTCAACCCCCCAAAACTGGCACGGGGCAGCCGTCTGGCTCCCACACCTGGGAGGTCTGCTCTCTGTCTGGTCCCTGAAGCAAGTTATGCTGACACCCATCAAGAGCGTCTTTTACCGTGTTTCTTACCAACTCCTTGTCTACAGGCAAAGCCAATCCACTCTGTGACTTTCTGTGGTTCTGAGGGAGGGCGGACCAGGACCGGGGTCTAAGGGCGGCCGTGAGACAGACACCCACATGTATCCTCCACAGGGTCACTCCTTAAATTCTGATATTGTCCTTGCCTTGGGGTTGACATGAAAGACCCTGGCTTCCATGTGTGCCTCCCAGAGAGAGCAAAACGGGACACTATCACCCGCCCGGGCGCCTACAGACTCCTTGCTCAGATGTGCTCTGTTCCCAGACCCAGAGGGAGGGACACAGATATGATGTTCTGATGAGCAAAGGTGGGAGGGAGACAAAGGCCAAGAGACCAGGGTATGGGGAGAACTGCTAAAGGTGCGTGTGCATGAGTGTGCGACTGTGCATGAGTGTGTGTATGAGTGTGTGTTTGCATATAAGTGGGTGTGTGAGTGAATGTGAACATGTGTTTGTAGATGAATGTGTGCATGAGTGTGCATGTGTGTATGAGTGTGCATGAGCATGTATTTGTATATGAGTGTGTGTGTGTGTACAAGTGTGTGTTTCTGTGAGTGTGTTTGTGTGAGTGTGCATGGCCATGTGTTTGTGTATGAGTGTGTGAGTGTGAACGTTTATGTGTGAGTGTATGGCTGTGTGTGTGG